TATGTGGTTTATTACTGGCAATGAGAGATCGCAGGGCCTGCGGCCAACCGCCACAGTTTTGAAGGATTTTGAAGGGTTTTTGTCAATCAGTTGACGTCAGAGAAGTCTGGCAACATTGCAACGAAATCATTATTATTTGTGCATCTTTGGGTCGGCACGGTCCACGTTTTTTTATTTTGTGAATTTGAATATTCCACCTGGCATATTTTTATACTTTGCGAACTTTGGGACCAGGCAGGCATTGGAAAGCAACGGCTTTGATCAAGCAGGCAGTCAGAAATGTTCTTTTAATGCCTTTAACTGTGATATATTCAATTTTCACTCGAAACGCGATGAGTCGAATTTTGAAAAAACTTTCAATCGTTTTTTATTTGACAGGCGCTATTTGGCAACTGATTTAGGTAGACAGGCATTCAAAATCATACTTGGGGTGTTTGTTCTATGTTCACACAAATTTTCATGCAAAACGCGATGAGTCCGTTTTTTGCTTTCACAAAACCTCGTTAAACATTTTTTTATTAATAAACGCAACCGATACGAGCAGGCAGGCACGCGATTTCGTATTGTTCATGATTGATTCTACATTTCCTAAATTTTTCAGCCACAATAAAATCAGCTGCAATTTTTTTCACTGGCTCTTGTACTATCGTGTTCGCAATATAATAACTTTTTTTTTTGATATAAGATTTATTCATTAAACAGATGGGTGTGAATTACTCGACTCGACTCACCTGTTCAAACCTGCCAACCGAGCTGCCAACCCAATAGTTTAGCCAGGAAAAAAATAGACAACCCAGAAACGTGATATTTTTTTTAACATACTAACTTTGATATAAAATCATTTTTACCCATTAAACAGATGGGTGCAGATCCTTTCCTATTCGGAACTTAGACTAAAAAGGGTGGTAAAAAAAAAATATTTTTAATACAATGTTAACTGCAACTTTTTATATGCACTAAAGGCGAAAAAAGAAAAAAAAAACAATCTATAGGTACCCTTGAAAACTAAAATTTCCCTAAGGGAAGTGTTCCCCCGCTGAATGGGGGTGAGTTACAAAAAAAGTTGATAAGGAAAAATTCTAGGAAATGTAATCTTATAAAACTTTTATTGAGATTTTTTTTTTTGTAAAAAAATAAAAAAACTTTAAACTACCCTTAATGAAAAACGGCAGGGTGTGAGTGAAAATTTCATAAAGCAAAAACGTTGTTATGTGTTGTAGCAAATTTTTTCACGTTGGTTAAATTTTTTTATTTTCAATGACTACGTTTATTTCACACGTTCTATCCGGATACTAAGTGGATTGGATTAATAATGGAGATTAATAATCCTGAAATAAACACCCAGGAATAAACAGTTTATCCGGATCGGATACTTAATCCGATCCTCCAAATTTGTGGGATTGGACTTAAATGGATTATCTCAAATGTGAAATAAACACTCTAAATGTCGGATTTAAGAACTTTGTTGCTAACTCCAAGAAAAAAAGACCTAAACCTGATAAAAAGTGTATCAGCTGATTGCCTTTAATGAAGTTAGACACAGATTAATAATCCTTAATCCACTCAATATCCGGCTACAACGCATGAAATAAACGTAGTAATTATAAATTTCAAATGGCCCTTTTGACCACAGACGGCCCTCAATCAAAAAAGTCTTTAGATAAACATTGTGGATCAAATAATGTGGCACATCTTTTATTCGAAAAATTTTCATGTAAAATCTATTGATTGATTGATTCGTTTTATGAGGGAGGGTTCATACTTTTGTTATCGAACACGCCATAACTTGAAAAAAAAAGAGTTGTTAAGGTTGTCGTAGATTAATTCCTATGACACATTAAATTTTTTTGACAATTTAAAATTAATGACTTCTGGTTCAAGAATCGACGAACGTTTTTGACGTCATTTATTTGTTTCAGTCAATTTCTATTTGGAAGGCATATTATGTTAAAGGTATGAACCTTCATGAAACAAAGTCTACCAAGTAATCGCCAATGGCGCACTTTCAACCGCTATAGCGCAAAACGCCAGAGGGGTGAATGTGTGATATCTTCGGTTTTATGATCACCCATCCGCCCCGTATCATCCCTGAAAAATTCAATTGGGTAGGATTTTTTTTTTGTTGAAAATCGACAATTTCCATATAATAAAACCATTTTTTATTTTGAGTTTCTGTTGTCTATTGTGTAAATATTAGGGATCGACCAATATGATTTTTTGTAGCCGATACCGATATCGTCGGATACCGATATATCGGCCATAAAATTTTGTTGTAAATTTTTTGCTGTATAAATCAGGTAAAAGTGATTTAAAATGATATACACGGATTAACCATCATAAAATCACTAGAAAAATGCAGAGAAAATCCCATATTTTGTAAAATACCAGGCGGAACAACAATCCATATGGTGGATTAGAAAACATATCAAGAAATGAAGATCCTTTGATTTGGTGGGCGCAAAAAAAAGACATTTTTCCATTGATGTTCAAAATGGCAATTCTATTCAATAATATATTTAGCATCGCCGCCAAGTAGTGTTGCTAGTGGACAGCTATTTTCTCCAGCTGGAAATGTTTATGAAAACGCAAGAAATCATATATCTCCGGAAAGAGCAGAAAGCTTAATTTTGTTACTTACAACTTGCCAAAACTTGACTTTGAATATTAATTTCTTAAACTCAAGACTGGTTTATTCATCATTCATCTTCTATAATTATATTGGTCGGCGGATAACTGGCCGACCAATGGGATTACAGATTGCGTATTTTATCGTCAGATTGCATATCTGATAGTTTATCAGACGGTGAATAAACCGGCCCTCAGTGTGTTACTTCATTACATTTTCAACGAAAAACGGGCCCAAGATTAATGTCCCGCACGCCAGAGCCGTGACAATACTTTGATCGATGTATGTCTTCAAAACTGCTTCTTTCCCTCGACCTTTCAGGTTTGTTTTCAGATTCTGAGCACGCCTTGCAATTCCAACTAACTATTTTTTTTTTCATATGAAACAGTTATTTATATTACTAGTACAGTATGAGCTTCATTAGAGTAACGAGTGAGGAATATTGCCACGACGAGATCGCAGACCAAGTCGTGATAGCCACACGCGTGATAACCACACAATAAGTAAAGCGTAGTTCATATAGATGCGAATCACGAATTGCGAATTGCGGAGGCTGCTCCTATTGGTCAGTCCACTGTCAAGAAAAAGAACATCTGTCAGAGTTCAATATTTTGCGAATTCGCAAAATTTGAAATTTAGGAGGCAGGAAAATTGGAATTGTTTTAATATTTTGCGATATTCGTTGCGGATTTTATGTTAGCGTTGCTTTGTTTATTTTCATTTCGGATTCTTTGATTTTGTCTGGATGTCTGGTATTTGTAATTCTTGTCGTTTAGTTTTTTTGTGATTTGCTGTGTGTTTTTCTTTATTGTTTATTGCAACTTTATCTATTATTTTTCTCTCAGTCTCATTTATTGGACTAAATTATAATATGCTATTCTATTTAGGCACCTAAATTTCTTTCTTGCAAATTCCAACAAACAATAACAAACAACAAAAACAATTATTCAAGATTATAACCCTCCAAAATGATGTATCACTCGACCCCCGTCGTTCCCATTTAAGATTTTTTCTACAAACGTGTTAAAAATGCAATTTTTAACACCGCCCCGAAGCATTAAAAATGTTACTTTATCGCACTAGTGCCATAAAGTCTTTATAGCACTAGTGTTAAAAGTGAAACATCAAATTTTGAGAGCGGTCGTCAAAAAAAGTTTGTATTTTCAGTTATTTACATTGATAATAATGGTGAAATTTGAACAACTGAGGTAGCCCGATTGGCCGCCTCATCTATATTTTTCGAAGGATCGATGCAACTCTCTTTTTCTTCTGTATTTTGTTGCATTTTTAGCAAAAAGCATTCCTGACCTATGCCACGACATACTTTCAAGAAACTGACAAGACATTTCGTTACCTGTAAAACAAGGTGCTTGCTGGTTGTATGGATTTTTTGACAAATGTCAAATTCAAGAATTTTATGTAGGAAAGATGCTTCCAATTTATTATTCATTTAAAAATCTAATTTGTTAGTGGTTATTGCTTTTTATTGCCGTTTGTAGAAAAAATATTGTATGTTATTTGTGTTAAAAGTATTTTTAAGGCACTTATGTGAATTGCAGAATTCGCTTCGCTCATTCTGCAAACTTTCACATGCGTGCCTTAAAAATGTACTTTTAACACTTATATCATAAATAGCTATTCTAGGGGGTGGCTCTGGGGGCTGGGGGGGGGAGGTGAATTTTGCATAAAAACTGCATTATAGTTGACATATTCCAGGAATTTTTTCGAAAACTTTCCAGTTCCGAGATAATAGGGGTGGTAAGTTTTAAAATGAACACCCATTTGTTTATTCATGATGATTGATGAAACTGTTCACACACAGTAAACTCCACGACCTATTTTGAATCAGCAAGATCTAACTTAGATTTGAAACAATTCGAATTGCCATCGCTCTCGTCTACGTTTCCGGCTGTCGCCGTAATCCATATTATAGTATAGTTTATACGAATTTAATTCAAAGAGCATAATTGCTGTGTAGGCGGCATCTTCTTATGAAATTAAGTATATGAGTGCAACCGCCTAGGAATTTCCAAGAACTAAGAATTCTCATTCTAATTCCTAGGCTGTTGCACATATATGCTTAATTTCATAAGAAGATGTGCCTACACAGTTTTTTTGCTGTTCGGATTCGGCTTGACCGTATGAACTATAATGAGTGTAATTGAGTTTAGTGCCTGTATTGTTTTTTCCAACTTTTGCTGCGTATCGTAATTTCTGTACTTAACTAACTTAACTAATGTCAGTTTTTTTTTTCTCAATTTTCGCAGTTTTTGTACTTACCTGAATTTAATGTCTGTTTTTTTTTCTCTAATTGTTCTTACAGTTTTCAGGCAAATCCTTCCAAAAAAATTTAATGAATCCTTTCCATTTGCAGATGGGCCCGAATTCCAACGGGCAACCGAACGCCACCTCGGGCGGTATGATGGTACCACCCCAAGGCCGTCAGGGCGGACCCCCAGGGGTAGGCCCTATGCCTCCCAACGCCCAAGTGATGGGTGGCATGAGCAAGGCGCCATCGGCCATCAAGACGAACATCAAGAGCGCCGTTCAGATGCACCCTTATGGACGCTAAACACCCTTAATTCAATAATTCATATACTTAATAAAAACTAATTTCAATTAATTGTTCAAGTCGCTCAGCTTGAAACCTCTCTGAATTTAAGTACTAAAACAAAGGTGAGAGCAAAAAAAGTATGTATTGAGTAATGAGGCAATTTTGCTATAAAGGGGCCCTAACAAGTACCTATGAAATAAGTCAGATAAAAAAATAGAGTGTAATGGGCATAAACAGGGCCCAAAAGTATATGATAAATCACATTTCAATGTAATCAGTATGTAATGAGCCGTATAAGATGAATGTAAAGTTTATACGGAGTCAATCATCCAAACAGCTAAATAAAAGAGTCATGTACTTGGTCAGTTTAATTTACCAATACAGGGTGAGTCCGAAATAAGTGCTCGTTTTGAATTTCTGCTTCCGCTGCAGCTGCGGTGGGCTACAACCTAATCTTTGTGTGAACCCCTTTCCAGTATAGACCACAAGCCGCCACTGCTATATAAATCTATTGTAAAATCTAACACCTCACTTTTGGATATATACATAAAAAATTATATTTAGCGGGGGGCGGCAATTTACACCATTTACATTTTTGCCCCCCCCCCCTGCCCTCAAAAAAATTGTAGATCCGGCACTGGATATCGGACGTCCGAAGCGTGGGACACCGCCCTTATTCCAGGAGGGTTCGGCATTTTTTGTTATTCTTTTATTTTAACTGGAATCGAGAAATTTTGTTATTAAAAACGATTAAAAAAAGTTTGAGCGCAAAATATTAATATTTGCGTTTGTTGCGAGGATTTTAAAATCAACGATCGGCGCAGGATAAAAAACGTACCTGTACGCGAGACTAGGCTGCGTGACGTCAGTAGCCAGATATGCCATGTGAATTCGTATTGTTTCTGTATAGGACTTTACAGAAACGCTGATCTGATCACAAGCTGTTTGTTTTTCATCTTTCTTCAATAAACACGATTGAAAAAAGACAAATTACATCAGCTGGTGATTGGATCAGCATTTCCGTAAAGGCCTATACGGAGAATATGAATATACCAATTCACGTGGCGTATCTGGCTACTGACGTCACGCAGCCCAGTCTCGCGTGCAGGTACGTTTTTTAACCTGCGCTGGTCGTTGATTTTAAACTATTTAAAATATTATAAATCTCGGTTGGAATGTACCTGAAATGGTGGAAAAATAACCAGTTGTTTTGAATTTTTTGACATTTAATTCGTCTAATGGACCTTTCTCATGCAATGAACAACAAGGATAGTTTATTAAAACTTCTGTAATAAAGAAAGAGACACATAGGTATAATGACGCGCGATATCTGTGTGGAATGACTTTGATTGGTTCCACTTGTCAAATCGTGCAATTTCGGTTATGTTTCTGTTTGTGTTTATTTTTAAACGTAAATATGATGAATATGTATTAACATTAATTAGCAAGGAAACCCACCGTTGGACAAAAATGTTTGCAGCAAACCTTTAATTGTACAATTATTATTGTATTTGATATAAACATCGTTATTTTACAAACCCTCAAATCTCTGTCCCAACTTAAATCTTCTTCATTCGGGTTAAGGGGGCAACATCGCTCCCATGCACACGATACAAAATACAGAAATCGGTTTTAGACTACAAAAAAAAACCGCACATCATAAACATTCCTTGATCGATTATCTAGAGAATAGAGCAGTTAGACTTTCCATATTTCTAATTATTGTGAAAATGAACTATTTCCCAAAAATAGAAAAATCCACGGTAAAAATTGAAAAAATGAGAGCACTATTCTCTAGATAATCGATCAAAGAATGTTTATGCCAAATTTCAGCAAATTCTGATGTGCCGTTTTTTTTGTAGTCTAAAACCGATTTTGGAATAAATGGTACGGGTAGCTGAGGGGCGCCCTCCAAAAAATCGCCGCAGGCGTAATTTTTTGCAAATTTCAAGGTCATTCACTTTTCCAGAACAATTATTTCATTTTTGAGAAAAATAAAACATAACAAAAATGCATTTTCTTCAATATATTATGGATTTTCTTTTTGACATCGTGATTTTGCTCTTCATAATTCGATCCTGGGGTGGGGGGGGTAATTACCCCCCAGTACCCCCCCCCCCCCGACGCGACGTCACTGTTTCTCACCTTGTGTATTTGTTTTGTTTTTTATTATTGGTTTATAAAATAGGCACAAAGCATGCTGTGCCATTAGTTTCCATTGAAAAGAAATAAAGTTTTTCTACGATTGACAAGAAATGTCAGCATTTTTGACCGGTTGGCAGGTTGCAAAATTCAATATTCTGGTATTTTAATTATGTTTCAATAGTTGCTAAGAAATCAGTGAATAACAATACAGGAAACACTTTTCCGGCCTAGGCCGGGAAAGTGATTCTCGTACTGCAGAATAATTGGAACAAATAGACAAACATTTAACAGATATTTAAAACCAATCGCAGAAAAAATAGTATGTGTATTTCGGTGGAAAAGCACATTCTCGGCCTTCGGTGTTTGCCGGCCTCGGCTACGCCTCGTCCGTCAACTTACACCGTCGGCCGAGAATGTGTCACTTTTCCACCTAAATACACAATATACTAATCTATTTTACGTACCTAGGTATACATACAAAAATTGGATCGTGTTTTATCTTTGAAAAAATAAAAAGCTTCAATAATAATTATTAAAATTTATTTACAAAAGGTGGAAAGTGCTAAAATTAGAGTTTTTCCTTTGTGTTCTTGCATATTAGTGCAATAATAATATCCACCAATGCAGTAGAGCATTCAATTTAGGTATCTGGCGATTTGCATTTCTTTTACTAGCTCTTGGATCTTTTACCAATATCTGAAATTGTGTAAGACTCCTGGAACTATATTCTCGAAACAGGGGAGCAGCGTTCTCATTGGAACGAAGGTTCTGTCTTTGTCGTCCGGCATAACACTGAAAATGACAGAGCAATCGTTCTTATGAGAAGGCTGTTCCTTGGTTTCGAGAATAAAGTCCCTGGTAGGACTATTTTTTTATTATTCCTCTATTTGTAAACCCATTCACGGGCCATTCATGTGCCAATAGGGAATTTTCATGAGAAATAAATATGGTTCATTTTGTTTGTATGGTGCACATATTTCTGTAAAATATTGAATATGAGCAGTTTTGCATCTAATATATCGATATTATTGTCATAGGGCAATTATTAGTTTTAAATTGAAAAGTTTCGCACGGAAAAGCTACGTTTGACATGCCTGCTTTTGTTGACGTCAACTGTTCATAAACTAAGGTTAAGGCTAGTTCACACTGACCATGAATAACGAACGTAAATCCACGCTTTCGTAGTCCACTCTTGGGTCGTGAAGAACGATTGGTCCACGATCAGCCCACTTCACTGATATTAAACCACCATAAATAGGTCTATAGAAAGAAGATTGTCAGGCTGCGCTTCTGTAAATCCTGTATCAATCATGATAAACTGATTGAAATACAAAATGTCACAATACGCCAAATAAAGAATCACCACGTAAAAACCACATTGTCAATGCAGTCGAAGGTGTAGTCGAAGGTACGAGCGATTCTTTCTGACAGTTTGCAAAGTGTCAGAGACTCTTGTGAGAACAGACCTTAACGTTGTATTTACAAACAGTTGACGTCACAGATACCGACATCTTGAAGGTATCGTTTTCGCGCCAACGGAAATAATTTGAAATTTTATATATTTTTTTTTATTCTAATGAGGACATAATACAAAAGAAAACATATGTATTTTATATTTGAAAACATAAGCAATCAGAAAAAAAATAATTTGAAAAATATGATTGTTCCCTGCTTCCTGAAAATCTCATAGGTAAAGTGCGTTTTTTTTTTAAAGATAGAAGTCAAACTGACATTAGGTTGGCAATACAATGTAAAATTGTCAATGCTTTCAAATTTTTCATGTAGAAAAGGCTTGTGTTGCCAACATAGTTACTAAATTTTTGACTTGGGGCATTATCTTTAAAAAAAAAACAGATTTTACCTACCACAACTAAACATACCTCAAAAACAAGCTCTACAACAAAACATCACTTTTACAGAGTAGAACAAAATTTGAAATCATACGAGGCATGGAAATACAAATCCCTCCATAATCTCATTAGCCAATCAGTACGAACTGAGTGAAAAAAGTTGCACTGATTCTGCAAATTGAAATCGCTATAATAATGCTCCACTGTAAAAATGCTTTCATCTTGGCGCCATCTATAATTTTTTTTTAGAACTAAAATATAATTTGAAGGGGGGCCGTTGAGGCCTTAAGAGCACGTAACTTTTGTTTTCTTACAATTTGATTGCTTGGGAACTTGTGAAAAGAAAGGTTTGATTTCTTTATCGTCTTATGCTGACAAGATCTCATTCAACACATTTGAACCATTGTATCATAAACAGTTTTTGTAGTAATTTTCAGCAATATTGATTGACATTGATTGATTACTGAGGTTAGCTTAAATACGTTAGGGTCAGACCGCGTTCAGTAAATTGACGATTTAATTATCTGTTACCCACAAGCGGCGCGCGCAGCACAGGTAAAATGAGAAAGGTCCATTATAATAGACCTATCTCGCATGATTAGAAAAAGAGAGCTTAATTGTAATAAATACAAGTTAAAAAGCAATAAAAGATGACATGCGCGCGCAACTCGTAGGCTGCAGTGTAGCCAGATTGTATTGTTGCAGAACAAATGTAGACAATAAAATCGAACATTATAACATTAAAGAAGTGATATAGTGTCAAGTGTTTTACAACGCCTTAAATCAGACAAAAGAAGAGCTTTAAAGTGGATGAACATCGTTTGCACTTTTATTTTTATAGATGCTTCATCCGGCAACATCGCTCAATGAAATTGCAAAGGAATATGTCAAGTATAATCTAACATAACTTTAAACGAAACTGCGGTGAGTTCAAGTTATATGTAAAGTATTAGTTTGCTCTTTGTCAAATTACACGTTACAAAGAAAGAAGGAACGATTCATTCTGAACTGGCCCCTGAATAAGAATATGACGCAAGCCTGTCACAAACTTGCTTCTCATTGGACGCTCACCTGCAGCCTACAAACGACGTACGCAGTCCAGGTAATAGGAGATCGGTCTATTTTATCACAAAGTATGAGTGCGTATTCTGTAACGCCATAGACATAGAAAATCCTTTCTAGGCAAAAAATTTCTATTATCACAAAACCTTATTCTGTATGCCAGTTCGGCAGCACTCGAGTCCCGTTTAATGTTCGGTCGGCATAAAGAAATAGAAAGACCCGTTTAGGTCTTTCTGTAATGGAAAAATTGTTTCTATCTTTTTCTAACACATTATCGTAAAACGTTCAATTGACGTGTCTCGCAGAAATAG